CTGGTGCAACAACAAATGCAACTCATCATTAATCGCCCCAGTTAACTTTCCATTCAAATTAATCATTAGATGTTTGTATCATCAAATGTACGTTTCTATGTCAATCTGCCAGAAATACACAATATGGGCAATCATGTTGACTGTTTCTAAGCACAGAGATTAAATGGCTAACACAACAAAAGAAAACACATTCCCGAATACCTCAATACAGCCAACACATAGGTGATTAGATGAGTACTTTTCTGCAAATTTGAAACATAAATATTTACCGTGCTGTTATTTCATAAGGCTCTCTAGGTGTTTCCCATCCCTTGCCTTCTTCAACTATCTGCCGCATTCAATGGAAAAAACAGTTTGTCACATAGCTGAAGCATCCAGCATTCCAGCCTCACATACTAGACCACTTATGGAACAAACACACAAAAAAGGAATCTACAATGGCAGTTAAAAACAGCACCAATAACGTTTAAAGAAAACAAAGACTATGCATGATTCCTTTACCAGTACTCTCTCCGTTCCAAATTGCAAGTCGTTTTGGCTTTTCTAGGTACATAGCTTTTGCTATGCTCTTAGATATATGCTATGTCTAGATACATAGTAATGTATCTAGAAAATCCAAAATGACTTACAATTTGGAACAGAGAGAATACTAATTTTATGAAGTAAAAGAAATATCTAACAGGTGCTCCAAGAAAACCGAGAAAAAAAAAGCATTTTTGCTGCAATGAGATAGGAAAGTTGTTCACCTTCTTTACAACCCCTAAATCCTCTGCCACAACCTGACAAAGAAAATAAGCGGAGTAATTAATCAAAAGTAGCAAATATATTCTTTGAACGCCATGTTGTACATCGGCCATGGAATCAAGAAATCATCAAGACGACAGCAGGAGAGAAAATGTGTTTCTTAGTTATGACAACAATCTTGGAAAACAGAGCTTAAGGGAATCAATACCAGAATTGCACTAAAAATGCTTGTTATCATGGAATAGTTAACCTCAACAGCTTTCATATTACATGTGATATTATCTAGATAAAATAGGAAACCAAATCATTACTCTTGATAAATAGTTACAGTTTCTTATGTGATGAATATAGTTGTGTTGTACCACTTAATGAGACACTGACAAAAAAAAAAACTATATACTAAATTAATAAGAAGTAAAAACAAAAAATGATACAGCACGCAAACAACCAAATTAGATACCCTGCTATCTTGCGCACTGAGTCTTACTTGTATTGATGGTATTACTTTTTGTATATATTGCATAACGTTTTTGAAATCATACCATGCTGTAGATAAAAAATTTAAAATAGACAAGAAACTATTTGCCAGAAGTTCTCTAACATTAATGAAATTTACATCGGTTGAAGTCATACTCAAGTCATCATTTAAAGAGATTAACCTTGGCTTTAAAGAAATCCAACATTTCAATCTCAAATTGAAGTTCATCATCTTTCGGAAAGCCATCTGGAGCTGCAACTGGACAATCGTCCTCAGCGTAGTGAATTTTAGGCTGCATTTTGAACTGAAAAAAAAATGTAAGAGAGGAATAAAAAGAGACGAAATGACTAAATAATATGCGCACGTATTCTTCATGAAACTGAGTAGTGTCTTTGTATTAGAAATACCATAGCAATTTCACCCTTCAGCATTGTTGGGAAGCCTTCAGCAAAACCTAGGATCATCTTGCTCTTCCCTAAGACAAATCTGAGTGGGATTCCTTTACCTGTAAATTATAACAATAGAAACGAAGATGATTCGAAGAATCAGTAATTGAATTGAGTAGGCATATAGATGGGACAAACATTTGGGGTACAAAATTCATGCGACAGTTTGTTGTAAGATACAAATATTACAGAAAAGATTCAGATAAAAAAGTATTACAGAAAAGACATAGTAATCTAATATATTGTTCCAGAGGATGTAAGGAAGCACAGCACAGGACAGGTGTTTTCCAAATCACACACATGTGTGCCAACAAAAACACCAAAATAGGATGCTTGCAACATAAAATTTAAATTGTGAGTTGTGAAATGCAAGCAGGAAACCACATCTCGGAACAGAGGGGAAAACCATACTATAATTAATATGAAAACAGGATACGGAAGCAACAATATTTGAAGATACTGTAGTATACATAGTGGTGAAATGTGCTCAGAGATATTGCATCACCTCCATGCTCCCTTCTTGTAGAATTGACAATAATACCATCCATCGTCCGAGTAGTGCAATGAAGTATAACCTGAACAATTATTACAATGAGAATATTAAATCTGACCACCTAAAATTCCTTATGCCCACAGTAACAAAAACAGGACTGCGCGAAAGCCATTATGAGAATCAGCAAAAAGTGCAGTCATCAAGTAAAATGCCTAGTCTCGGGGAAAAAAATCTAAGCTATGTAAGCTGTATGAACAATCCAACAGAAGAGTTTCATTTAACCATTAGGATAATTTTTATTAATGCACATTTACAGGACATAGTAGAAAAATGACAGTTTATGGAGGATCTCGGCATCAGACCAAAAACTTGCCCCAGAAATAGGATCGTTCTATGTAAGGATCAATTGCCAATTGCACAAATTGTTGGATGATTTACTCAATCAAGTATAACTAAAGTTCCAAACGTCTTTGATCATCAATCAACATCAAACAGTGTCGGCTGCAGAGAGAAACACACGTTCCTGTCTGTATGTACTTCCACAATTTCATTGCGCGATATACGAAGGGGGAGAGAGGGCAGGCAGTGTTTGCAACCTGATCGCCCTCTGCAGGGGTGGCATCACCGCTCCCAGACCGTATGATGCTCTTCATCAAGCTCCCAGGTGTAAGCTTCTTCCTCCTGCAGTGCAACAGAAACATGGCGTGGTGTGTTGATCACAAGCAAACAGCAGCAGTTCAACGAACGGAAGGAATGCCTGAATTGAAAATTTCTACAACCGGATTTGGACCCTGTATGCTTCGGAATCCCGAGGGGGGCGAACTGGAACTGACCTCTTCTCGGCCTCCTCCTCGGCGGGCGACTTCTTCTTCGCGGGCGGCGGGAGTTCGCCGCCGCCGTCGCCGGCATCGTGAGCCATGGCCGAAGCTAGATTCCGGGCTGGTGCTCACCGGCCGCCGCGTCGGGACGGGGGAGGGGGAGAGGTAGGGCAAGAGAATACTTCGCTAATCAAGGCCGCTGTCCGTGCGCGTCTGCGTGACCGTAACTGCGCATTAATGGCCGGGAGGCGGAGCAGTTGCGGTAGCAGCAGCCAGCAACGCCTCGGAGTTTGGAGGGAGCGGGTGGAAGGTGGATAGGATCATGGGAGTGGGATGGTGGACTCGCCGGTCGCCGGCGGAGAGTCCAACGAAGCATCGCTCGCTGTCGCTGCTACCTTCCTTTGACTTGGGTCTCGTGCTTCAATGGGACCTGACTCCATTGGGCTGCAGGCTGCCTATACCCAGGCCGTTATCTCAGATGGGCCGTTGAATGTCTCGCTCAGGCCTATCCCGCTCCTTGCGCCGCCGACTCGTCTCCACCAGGCTCCCAAGTCGCCACCGTGCCTCTCGTTGTGCCGTGCGGCGGCGGTCCACGTGGCTTGGCGGCCTCCCTACCTCCCCTCCGGCCGGACCTGACACCCCGGACCCGGAGGCGCCCCTGCACCGCGGACTTTCAGATCGCCGACGCCCAAGCGACCAAGCTCGACGAGTTGAGAGGTTGAAGGCGAGAACGGCAGGACCGCAGCGGTACTGCGATAAACGGACGGAGTGGGCTTCTCGCTTTTGGGCTGTTCGCCTATTACATTACATGGGCCTTGTTTCACATTTGGGGAGGCCAGAGCGCAAGCAGAAGCCCTCTCTTCCTCTCGCGGACACTCGGAGTCTCGCTCCCGCTTCCCGACACCCCGCACCCGGCGGCCGGCGCCCAGCGGCCGCTCAGCCCCGGAGCCCCCATCCTTCTGCCCGTGTGTCGGTGTGTGGTCCTTCTAGAAAGGTGCGTCGTCTTTCATCTGCTCCCAATCTCCCCCTTACATGGTTGATGATGGTGCTCTCTAGGTGCTTGTTGAATTGATTGAGTAAAAAAAAGTTGTCCAGATTGGAGCGTGAATTGAGTGGTGTTCAGATTGTAGTCATTCACAGAAAAACTGAATTCCGAGATTGCAACCTACCTGTATAGCGATGTAGCCTGTAAGAGATTGTAGTTTATTTAAAAAAAGGTTAACGTGAAACTGTAGTAAATTAGAGTGTTTATTAGTATATGCGCAAGAGGAAGAGAGGGTAGAAAAAAAAAATACATATATAGGAGGTTTTTAGTAGTCTGATATGTATGTTGTCATTTTTAGCCAAAGTTTTGTAGTTCAAGTTCGCCCTACCTCTATTTTCGGGCTGGGTCCGCCACTGCTTGGCGTTGGCGTCGACACTAAGTTGCACGCCTTTCCGGCTCCATCGCTTCCACCTCTCTCATGTAATTCTGAGTAAGGATTTTATTCTTCGTTGACTCTCTTGTGTCTTTAGTTAGTCCTGAGAACTCTTTGGCCAACGACTGGGAGATTTGGGAATCACCTGTTTGAAGGTTTTTTTTTTATTTTGATTATCGGGCATACATTGAGTAAATTGATCTTTTATTATGTATACGTCTGCTGAATCACGTTGACACGAGGCGGCAGTTTATTTTATGTTTATGGAAATATACTGTGAAAATTTGAACTGCACTTTAGCTGTTCGATGGAAGTACCAACCGAATCAACAGGAACCACCGCGTTGATTGATACAGCCCAGTGATAGCTACCTACTTTGGCATTCGACAGAAAATGGGAATCAGCAATGTAGATTGTTCCCGGGGATTAGGATAGAAGTCAATATCGGGATTAGGATAGCAGTCAATATGGAGACTAGGATAGCAAGTCAATATCAGGTTGAGGCCGTTGTTCTCGAGGGGATGTGGAATTTTTCTTTTATGTTCATTCTGTTTTAGAACAGCTTTGAAGCTCCTGTAACATCACTTTCCTTAAATTCACAGCATGGACCATCTTCTTCATCTTGTGCACGTCAAGATTCTTGCTGCGGACCTTCTCTCTTTAACCATACAGCACACTTCGCCACCGGCGTTTCTCCGCTGTGGCCGTACGGTTGCTCGTGCGGAGCTTGTTGGAATTGTTGTCTCGCGTGACCGCAGGGAGAAGTTCCTCAGCTTCGTGATCGATGATGGCACTGGGTGTGTACCGTGCATCCTGTGGTTAAACCACCAATACTTGAATGCTAGCACATCCTCTGGGCCATCAGAATTTGATCCTACTGCGGAGATGGCGTTGAAAATGTCAGAGGAGGTGCGTCTAGGCACTCTTTTGAGGGTCCGAGGAAAGATTGCCACATATCGCGGTGCGATCCAGATTACTGTTAGAGATGTGGTTGTGGAGAAGGACCCGAATTCGGAGGTGTTACATTGGTTACAATGTGTCCGCTTGGCCAAGGAGTGCTATGATCTGCCACCACCTTCTGCTCAAGGTGGCACTTGAATGGGGTTTATCATGTGTAATGTAATATGTACAAGTTCATCTCTGCACTTGCTGGAGACAATCTCTTCTAATGTGATCAAGTTGTGCATTATAAGCCTTGTTAGTGAAATACATAAATATTTATATTGGTTGCAGGTGGTCAGGTCGTTTCTCAATGTATATCAGATGATTTTTTTTTTCTGGTGTTAGCTCGTAACCTCCTTATACCCTCTAGGCGGGGTAAGGAGGTTGTTTTGTTCTCGATTCTCCTCCCTTTTTCTCTCTTATTAATACAAAGATTCGCAGCTCTCATGCGTGTTCAAGAAGAAAAAATATTAGTTCCAGGGGATTTACTTTGATTTAGTACTAGCTAGGGTTATTTACAAATTGCAATTGTGTTAAAAAAGTCTAGTGCAGAGGCATCTAGTGGTAAGATTCCACACTGGGACCAAACAATATCCATGTGCCCAGAGATGGTTGTGTGTTTATGTTTCAGTTCGAAGGCAGACTTTTATTTTTGGTTCTCACTTATAAGTTTCAGTGTTTATTTTTCTGAATGGCACTATGACTACTATATATATTTCAGATTCTGTTCATTGAACTATGTGCTTCAGTACTCGGTATGGATGCCTTGCTGGACAAGAGTGGCTCCTGTTCTTAGAATTCTTTACTGCTTCCTCCTAGCCAATATTCAACCTGTTCGCTGGTTGGTTTCTGGGCTGATAACCTTGGCTGGTGCTGGTTTGTTGTGAGAGAAAAATACTGTACCATGGCTGATAAGTCCTGGCTGAAACCAACAAGCGAACAGGCTGATTTTCTGGCAATGGTAATACCATTCAACCTGCACCTAAAGGAATATAATTGACAGCATTATGGCTTCTGAGGAGCTTACCAAGGCTTAAGCCAAGTGCAGCAGCAAAATCTCACTTTTTTTTCTTCTTCTTTTTTTCATATTTAAAGAGAGAAGAAACAAGCTTCCTGTTAACAATGAAGAAAGTGGAAATAGGTGATGTACACTATGATTGATCCGTGTAAGGAAAAGGCTTTTCTCACTTTTTTCTACTGAGGTTTCCAATGTCGGCAGTGTTCCAATTCTTGGTTTTATATATCCTGTATAGATTGCTGGGTCTGTGTGTTGTGATCTTCAAGGGCACAACAACTTAAACGTTTCCAAGTCGAGTATAAATTGAAATCCTCCCTTACTTAATGATATTTCGATGTTTCCTTTCGGAGGCTACTGTATTTGAATGTTGTTTGTTATGGAAGAAAAAGAGGATATTCTGGCACTATACAATACCAAGTTTTTATTATCTTGCAAAGCAGCTAAATGTTGCTAGCAGATTTCCCATCACAACCTCCTTTGGATCCCTGTTCCCTTTCTTTGATTGTGTGCCAAAAGAAGTGCCATCTTTCACCATAAGGCCTTACATTTTCTGTTTTTCTGATGGTGACAAGCTGACAATCCATTCCAAGTCAGTGTTCATGTTGAAGTTAAACTTTAATAGTGGCTTTTGCTTTTCTGCAGGTCTGGAAATCCCTTGGACCAAACGAAGAAACTAAGGCTCCGAGCCATGTCATCGGAGTTGGAATCTGTTTAAATTCTAAAACATCCTTGGCTTTTCATCACACACAACTTAACAAGAGATGTAAAGTAGCATGGTATTGTGATGTCGTCCTTAAAGTGTCTGTCACTCAATTTGAGTTTGAGCACTCAGTTCTTATTTCTGTCAACTGCAAGAAGAATCCTGCATTGTTCAAAGTATTTGCTACCTTCTCATGGTAATGTATTGTTCTTCCCTATAAAGACACATTTTATCTTTATCTATAACATCTCCTCTGTAGGATAGCATTCTTTTTTATTTCTGCAAGGGCAACATTCTTTTGGTAGATAGAAGTTACAGTATAGTCATAACTTTAAGAAAACTCGTTGTCTTTAGAGGTCATGGACAACTTTTGATCCAGAATGGACCCATTGGGTTCAGAAAGTTGGCACCTTCTGATGATTACCACTTGCCTTTTTCTCCTCCTCTGCTGCTTTATCCATGGAGATCTAAATCTTTACATCAGAATCTGCTGAGACCACCTCAAGGGAGGCATATCAAAAGAGGAGCTCACTAGTACAATCATTGCTGGCAACATTCTTCAGTCACTTGGTTGATTCCCTGCAAATGCACTTCCCTACAGGCTTCCTTTCTAGCACGCCCTAGAGACAGCCCATGTTATTGTGCTGCTAGTAAATTGTCCAATCTTCTACACTGTCCTTTCTAACATTTCAGTATGCTGCTCACATGCTTTTGGATACATTGATGGCAGATCGTTTATGTTCAAAATATGTTAGGTTGTCATCATGCATGCTTATAATCGCATATGCAAAATGGAATTCTCTCATTATGTAGTCTCAAAATGAATATTAGAATATTTTTCTGTTTGATATTTGTGTCTGTATATGTACGCCTGACCCTTATGTCCTTTGGTGGAATGTGCATGAATGAGGAGGTTGAGCTATAATGTGTTTGGTGTACCATAAACAATACCATGTTTGTTTACATTTTATACGTAATTTCAGGATTGGAAATAAGCTCCAAAGGGTACACACTTTGTATGTCATTATTATTTTTACCCAGGGGATCAATAAAAATCCCTGGATCTTTGGATAAGCAGGAATCCTGAAAACTAAATGAGAGATCTGTTCAAGACGAGGTTGCCAGATGGGATCCATATATATCACAGTAAGTTCAGATAACTTTGTTCTTTAGTTTCCTTTTGTGACCACGTTTAAATCTAGTAACTATCTTGTTAAAAAGTGTTATTAAGATGTTTTACTTTCACAATTATGTTTTTGTTGCTAATCCTCCAAAAAACGCAGTAGAAAACCTGAAGTGTCCCCTTGTACTTCTCTTATATTCTAAATTGTGGAATCCAGAGTCTTTCTTGGTCCCCTACTGTCTAACTCGTATTCAGTATGTACTACAGTTGAAAAACTTTTGTTTTGAAATAGTTGAGAAACTATTTAAGTTCATGAGCTATGAAACATAATTTGTTGTTTCTTTCACTCGTAACCTTGCTTAATCTTCTTCAGTGGAACCATGTCAGTGAAATGTACCATTCACCCTAGGAATATCTAACCGCCGGTATCTAAAATGGATGTATCAACAGAAGACCCTCCTTTCAGAACAAACTACAGAATTTAATGCGAGTGGATCCCGTCATTGTTTTTGGATCCGGTGACTAAAATCTAGGAGGTGTGTCGGGAGGATGTTGGCATGGGGTGTTCGGATACTAATAAAAAAACAAATTACATAATCCGTCAGTACACCACGAGACGAATTTTTTAAGCCTAATTAATTCGTCATTAGCACATGTTTACTGTAGCACCACATTGTCAAATCATGGACTAATTAGGCTTAAAAGATTCGTCTCGCAAATTAGTCGCAAACTATACAATTAGTTTCGTAATTAGTCTATATTTAATACTCCATATATGTGTCTAAACATCCGATGGGACAGCGACTAAAATTTAGGAGGGGCAACCAAACACCAAGATCAGTATGTCTTGTTTAGTCCGAAGAGAAGAGACCAAAGCTGAAAACATGAACATGATTAGATTGTATAAGGACTCGAATGGCTCTATTCAAAGCCATCCACATTCCGCGGCACACTTGGCCAGTAATAAAATTAGAAAAAGGAAATAGTGACTTCAAACACAGAGGCCAGAAACATGTAAATTTGTTCCCGTGCAATATCGTGGCTGTATATTTTTTAAATGACTAGGGGAGGAGGCCTGCTTGGCTTATTATTAATAGAAGAGAAATCTGGCTATATGAGTCGCATGTGACTCCATGTGGTGTTACAGAAGAAGACCGGACAGACTACCACTGGAGATCTCAGCAATACAGTTGTGTGTGTGTGTGTGTGAGAGAGAGAGAGAGAGAGTGGGGTGTGTGGCAGAGTGTATATGTGTGTGTTGGAAGCTTCATGCTCGTGAGCCTGGTGTCAACTGTCAACTCACGTGTGCAGTGCACGAGCTTGGACTCATGCCTGATGGACTGCCCCCAGCAGCACCCATATTTAGGCAGAAATAATTAGTGTGCCGGCAGTGGCGCATGCATGCGCTTATTCTGCTGCTCAGGCTCAGCTGTACGCCTGCTACATTTCTGTCTCTGTATATCAGGAACTGGAAAACTGATAGTTGACGTCGCACATGCTAGCTCGATAACATACTCAGCGAGTAACATATAATAATGTCTGTATTGCTGTGTATACAAGCTTAGAAAAGGTGTTGTCTTTAAACGAATGGAAAAGGCGGTTGCTTTGGTAAAATCTTAATTCTCTTATCTAAAGTTATGATATATCTCCTGGTGGTAAGCTGTAAGCATCAGTTTTATCATTTGCTAATGCTAATTTGCTACGCTTGTTTTGTTTCGGAATGCTTTTTTCTGTGATGTCATACTTGTGGTAGTGTTAATTATTGCTTGCAGGTTACAACAGGCTTTCGAAGATATGTTAGTCTTCAATCCATTGGGCTGCAGCTGCCCAGTCAGCAAATTATAGTTCTTTTCTACTAGTCCTTTCCAAAGCAGTAGTCATATAGCTTCTGTCCTTTGCTCCTAGCATATTCAGTCATTCAGCATAAATCACTCACTTTGTTCCCTTATTTTGTTTAGAGATTTTTTTTCAGGATATGGTCACATTCAGCTTCTCACTGGATTTGGTTTTTAAACCATTGTTCCTCACTGGAATCGCTATGATACATGTAGTGGTTGATGTCTTCAATAGGTGGTCTGGCTTTGGTCATTGGATGTGTGTTGATAGGGAGGCCCGAGGTTCCACAAATCTCTATCTGTGCTGAGACGAACGGGTTGGCTGCAGTGTGGCAGCACATTGGTTCATCTGCAAGGCCCCTCACACAGAAGATGATGTCCTTTGTTTATTAATGCACAGAAACATCTAAATCTAGTGCCAGAGGCATTCCTGTTTCTCTCTGTATTTATCTATCCTTCAGGCTACAGCAGCATCATGGCAGCATGAGACACAGAGAGGTCATGCACATGTGACCTGTGGTGTGTGTAAAGAGTTTGCAAAAAGAGTGGTGGTGGTATTACTCCTCCTTTATGAGCACTGACTTTAATCAGGTCTCCTTTAATGCACTGCACCCTGACCCACGTCGCTCACAAAGAGGAAATGTTCTCTGAAAAGTTTCCCTTGGTTCGCTACGGTACCCTCCTCAGTCATCGCCTCTGAGTTGAGCACCTTTTCTCCTCTATTTTTTTATTTGTGTTTCCTGCAGGAAAACCTTTTAAGTTCTTGACAAAATGAGATTAACCTTTAAGGAATCTTGTGACAGTAAATATTTCTGCAATGGTAAGTAATATATATACATGTCATATCTGAGAATATTCTCTCATTGGAATTTTGTTTTTCCTAAGGGACACACCTCTAGGAGAAGCAGCAATAGTCCATTTTCCCTACTTCCATTGCTTTCCTTTCCAGGCTAGAGGAGTAAGCTGGCGCGTAAGTAGGTGATGAAAGGATCTCAATTCAATCGTGCTAAAATCGCATAGTGTTTGCAGCTCCTATCTTTATGCATATGCAGTAAGGAACATGCATCAACAGTACTCTGACCTGTATTCTTGGTCTTATATATATCTAGTTTCATACTGTAGTTGCATAGGTCCTTATGCTACTTCTGGCATCTTTCATTTAACTTAGTATATTACCCGTGCTAATGTTACTGGAACATTTCGTACATACACAACAAAACTAACCAAATGACTCCTTTCAATGAAATGATAAGCAGCTCCCCTGCGTATTGGAGAAAAAAAACTAACCAAATGACAATTGTGTTTCCATAGTTTAGAATAATTAAGAATAAAATGGAAGCATATAAGATTCGCTATTGTTACATCACTGATGACATCAGCTTTTTCCTTTCTGCATTATTGTTACATCACCAATTTTAAACAAAAAGTTGATAGAAAGTATGGATCCTGAATTATATACAAATACAGTAAATATTATCAAATTACTTGATCTTTTTTCTTCTCTTTCCTATCCTTTTGCCAGGAGTCAATCTTGCTTCTTGACTTCAACAAAAACTGAAGTATAGCGCAACTAAACCATGAACTGCACTAAAGAAGTAAAGAATTAAGCTGGAAAGACAAAATTACATAGATTTTAAACAAAAGCAGTGAAGGATGTGATATCTGCAAGCCCAGTACCTTCACCACAAGCAAGAAAAATCTCCTTTTCCATCACAGCCCAGTACCCTTTTAGCATTATTTTGCTCCCAAATCTTCACCATCTTTCCAATGTACGGTACAGGATCACCATACTTGAAGCAAAGTGTGTTCTCGTTTTTTTCCAATATATTTTATTTTATTTTTTAATTTGGTGTGTTTCCTAGAGTTTTCACTATGTCACCAACATATTCACTATGCTTCTGAAAGGCGATTCAGTTGTGCAATTGATTGAAAGTTGAAACTAAAGACATTGTACATGTTTATTTGCACCAGCAAGTTATATCTACAGATATTCTTTTTTCATGGTCTGAATCACTGGTCCTAGAATCACATCAATGTCTCAAATACTATGAGAAGAAAGGAAGCGTAATTGCCTAAATATATGAATACCTAGGAGGATCTGAACTCAGTCAGGTAGAATGCTTGATCTCTTGCAAGCTGTAAACTGAGAAGTGGAATTACAAGGAAAAGAGCCCCACATGGTAGGAAGGGTTAGGATTATAACATCATGGTGTAGATCCTACTCTAAGGCTCAGCGAAAGGCAAGTAGTCAGATGCTGCTCAAAGATCATTGTAATAGACCCGCTGGAAGCACGCAGACATTTAGGATAGCATCGATATATGCTTCACATAGTTTTGAACCCTGAAAATAATTGTAGTTCAATTCAATTTACATTTATGATTTACCATACATCCACACCTGATGAAATAGCATATCTGCTACCGGTGTTTGCAAAAAATAAACGCATGCCATCCATTAG